TACTCACCGCATGGGTTACGGTTGTACTCACCGCATGGGTTACGGTTGTACTCACCGCATGGGTTACGGTTGTACTCACCGCATGGGTTACGGTTGTACTCACCGCACGGGTTTCCAGAGACCGCCACGCACTCCCAGACAGGGTACTGATTCTTGCTCTGCACTGTGCCCCTCCCAGGTGAACACCCTAGGCGTCGAGGCGGAGCGTCTCCAGGAATCCCACCCCCAGAACGCCACCCAGATCCACCTGAAGAGGGACGAGCTCATCACCAACTGGGAGCAGATTCGCACCCTGGCAGCAGAACGGCACGCTCGCCTCAACGACTCTTACAGGTGCGTCTTTACTTCTGTCTATAATAGAGGAAGTGTTGTTTTTTTTTGCCAAACTCAGTGCTCCATGCTGCCCCCTGCAGGCTGCAGCGCTTCTTGGCGGACTTCCGTGACCTGACTAGCTGGGTGACTGAGATGAAGGCTCTGATCAACGCCGACGAGCTGGCCAACGACGTCGCTGGTGCCGAAGCTCTTCTGGACCGCCACCAGGAGCACAAGGTCGCTGCATGAAACCAGCTCCCTACCTGTCATGTTCACTCACACTCTTTACTCTTTTCAGTGTAATTAACTTAAGATTGATGTTTCTTCCCTTTATAAACAAAACTTGTGTCTCGAACAGATTTCTGATTCTTGTTGTGGTTTTTAAATTGCCACCAGCTTGCAGTTTGTGTTTTATGCAAAGGAGAGCAGGAAATGGAGCACGGCAAAGGGACCAAATCAATCGGACATATGTTGGATTTTTTAATTTGATCGTAATATGGAATTAAATAGGAATTCAACTGAATGGGTCCGTCACGTGGAACTGATGTCTCCATGTGTCCACAGGGTGAGATCGATGCCCATGAGGACAGCTTCAAAGGCACGGACGAGGCCGGCCAGGCCCTGGTGAACACAGGACACTATGCATCTGAGGATGTCAGGGAAAAGGTAATGTGTCACGTACTGGCAGTCGTAATGGGGGGTAAGAGTAGGGGTCTGATCTCGTGGTTTATCTGATCTAAGTGAATTGCGAGTTGCATTAATGAGCCTGCTGAAAGTCTCCAGAGGGGTTTAAACGCAAGCTGATGTCTGTATGCGTCTGCGCCTGCAGCTGGCTATCCTGTGTGAGGAGCGGGAGGCCCTGCTGGAGCTGTGGGAGCTGCGCAGGCAGCAGTACGAGCAGTGCATGGACCTGCAGCTCTTCTACAGGGACACCGAGCAGGTGGACAACTGGATGAGCAAGCAGGAGGTGGGCTGGGGCCGAGTTCGGGGGGGGAGGGTGGTAACAGCGGCCAATTTGAGACGCAGTAAGAAACGCTCAAGTCGGCTGCATGTTGGTTCCGTCTCCCTTTGTGATGATTCTGAGGTCTTTCCTTCTGGATGCCAGGCCTTCCTTCTGAATGAGGACCTGGGTGACTCGCTGGACAGCGTGGAGGCTCTGCTGAAGAAGCACGAGGACTTTGAGAAATCACTCAGCGCCCAGGAGGAGAAGATCACGGTGAGGACCCTCGTTTCCTGCTTCCGTCTGTCCGGGGTTTAAAGAGTCCGTGTTTTTGAGATGTGACCGTGACCCTCTGTCTGCCCCATCCCTTCCTCCTGTGGAACCTGCAGGCCCTGGACGAATTCGCCACCAAGCTGATCCAGAACAATCACTACTCCAAGAGCGACGTGGCTGCACGCAGAGACGCGGTAAGAGGCGCAGAGGAGGGCAGCATTCTCGTTATGACACGGCCAGCCATCACGGGACTCTGGCCGCCTGTAGTGGGGACTTGAGTTTTGTGTATGAAAATTAATAAATAAGGCAAATATTTGTATAAATTTTTATAGCTTAATAGTGTAATCCATGGGGTGGCTCAGTAGGTGGCACTGTTGCCCCATACCTCAGGGGTTGGGGATGTGGATTTTGCCTCTATGTGTCTGTAGTGCTTCCACATTGTGCCCATGCCGCATGGGTTCCCCTTAGTCCTCTCTGTACTGCATATAGTGTGTCGGAATGAGCGATGTGTCACATGCCTGCATGCCATGTTCAGCTGCTGAGCCGACGCAACGCCCTGCACGAGCGCGCTCGGTCGCGGCGCACTGCCCTGGAGGATGCCTTCTACCTGCATCAGTTCTTCCGGGACTCAGATGAGCTAAAGAGCTGGATCAATGAAAAGATGAAGACCGCCACCGACGAGGCCTATAAGGTGACGGCTTGGCGGGGTGGGGGCTGCCCTTGGCTTCGCTTAGCCAGGAATGGCGCGCTGTAGACATTGTGACCTTTGACCCTCTTCTCCCCCCTCCCTTCCCTTTGCACAGGACCCCTCCAACTTGCAGGGGAAGGTGCAGAAACACCAAGCCTTCGAGGCCGAGCTGTCGGCCAATCAGAGCCGCGTGGACGCCCTGCAGACATCCGGCCGGCAGCTGATCGACAGGCAGCACTACGCCTCTGGCGAGGTGTCCGTCCGCATGGAGGAGGTCGGCACCATGTGGAAGCAGCTGCTGGAGGCTGCCGAGCTGAAAGGTGGGGAAGGCTGACGGCTGGATGGATGGGGGTGGGCTTGGGGGGGCGGCTTTTCTCTCATCTGGACGATCCCGTCGATTTCACAGGCATCAAGCTCCGCGAGGCCAACCAGCAGCAGCAGTTCAACCGCAACGTGGAGGACGTGGAGCTCTGGCTGTATGAGGTCGAGGGCCACCTAGTCTCCGACGACTACGGCAAGGACTTGACTGGAGTGCAAAACCTGCAGAAGAGACATGCGCTGCTGGAGGCTGACGTGGCCGCCCACCAGGTGGCGCCAATCCGACACGTTTCCCTACGTGTTGCCGTGCCTTTATACAGGGATACATTTCACAAAGTTTCATAACTTATGTTCCCAGTTTAATTCTCTGTTTTTCAGATTTGTAAAACGCCATTATGGCAGGAATTTTTGAATGTCAAATCTGAACATTTACCATTGTAAATACCATTCTACACAGATATTCGTAAAATGAAAATTCAACCTACTTTGACCCATCCTGCACTATATAAAATTGACTATTTGGTTATCAGCTTAATTATGAGATAAATATGTATAACAGTGTTAAAGAGCATATTTCTAACCTGTTCTCCTTCCTCTCTTCTGTGGAACAGGACCGCATTGATGGCATCACTATCCAGGCCCGGCAGTTCCAAGAGGCGGGTCACTTTGATGCGGACAGCATCCGCGAGAAGCAGGGGGCGCTGGTGGGCCGATACGAGGCGCTGAAGGAGCCCATGACGATACGCAAGGAGAAGCTGGCCGACTCACTGTGTCTGCAGCAGCTCTTCCGTGACATAGAGGATGAGGAGACCTGGATCCGAGAGAAGGAACCAATTGCTTCCTCCACCAACAGGGGTCAGTGTGGAGTATTGTTGGAGTTGTTCGTGTATGCATGTGCTGTTGTGTTCTTGGAAAAGTAATGTTTTGAGGATATCCTCACAAAAAGTGTTAGTGAAAAGGGGCAGTGTGGTTTCTGAGTGGGTAGCACTGTTACCTCTGTCACCAGGAATACTGGATTTACCCATGTGGGTTTCTGCCTGCAGTTCAAAGACATGCAGTTAGACTAACTGGCATCTCTAGCTACTAAGGCACTGCCATTATTGTGTGATTGTATGTGTGTTCTGTGATGGACTGGCACCCCATCCTGCACTGCAAAAAATGAAAATCTAAGCAAGTATAATGTTCTGAATTTGAATTAGATTAATTTATTTGCATTTAGGCATTTTGTCTTATTTTAGGAAATCTTGCCATGTATGATTTTCTTACTGTACTGGCAGATAATTTTGCTAGTTTTAGGCCATCTGGTCTCAGACACAGTTTCTCTTAAATTTGAAAGGCCATTTTTGCAGTGATGGTGTATCCCAACCCTGCTCCCTGTGCTCTCTATGGTAGACTGCAGGTTCACCCCCCCCCCCCCCCGGCCCTGCCTGTGACAGACAAGCTTTGATTCTTGATGACACGCCAGACAGATTTGATTTGTCCTTCGCTTATTACAATTGATTTGATTGGTGTTCTTAGGTGCCCATTAGTCTTCGGTCTCTCTCCCACCCAGGTAAGGATCTCATTGGGGTCCAGAACCTGCTGAAGAAGCACAAAGCTTTGCAGGCTGAGATAACTGGACATGAGCCCCGGATCAAGGCCGTCATACAGAAGGGCCAGGCTGCGGTGGAAAATGGTAGGCCGCTGTCGTTTTTTTCCTGGCCTCACTTACCCCGTTTTGACAATAATTGATGAAAGTGAAATGGGCAGTTTTATATTGTGATGTCGGCGTACATTATGGGTCATACTGCTTGTCGTGTCCCCAGGGCACTTTGCCAAGGATGAGGTCCTCGCACGGCTGGAAGAGCTGGGCAGGCGCTGGGAGGGACTGAAGAGCAAGGCCACCCAGCGGTGCCAGGACCTGGAGGACTCGCTGCAGGCTCAGCAGTACTTCGCCGACGCCAACGAGGCCGAGTCCTGGATGCGGGAGAAGGAGCCCATCGTGGGGAGCAACGACTATGGCAAGGATGAAGACTCTGCTGAGGTGAGGGGCGGAGGTCTGCGAGAGGGTGGGGTTAGAGGAAATGAGTTGTCTGATACCCTAACCGTAACCCTCGTTATGAAGCTCTCCTATCCCTCATGATAAACCCTTCCTACTCAACATTGCCCCTCCCACTCAGCTCCTGGCTGCAGCGATATATACTTGAGCAGGGGAGGGCAGAAGATGTGTAGTTAGGTTGGGTGGGTGGGCAGGGAACTGCCCACCACCAGGAGCTCCAAGACAGAGAGCTGAACAGGGCATTAATAACACTGTATGACAGATATTATATAAGGTATTGTGTAGTGTGGTATGGAGATGGGGAAGCTCCGGCAGGTTTAATGAACTGGCAGCTTAACCAGGCAGGAGGGGTGGAGGGGAGGCATGAGGAATCCCTGAGCACCAGCACTCCAACAACACATGGGAGATGCGGAGATGCACTGGACACCCAGTTCATCCACAATCAATGACACTGATCTCCAACCATCTCTGCTTCACAGACTGTAACCCCAGCCAGGGATGAGAACAGCTTTGTCACCACATGCTACACTAAACAAATGACTTTTTAGCCTTAACTTAAATATCAGCAGTGATTGTGAATCTCAGATGTTTGCTGGTAGACTATTTAATAACATTGGAGTCCTCTGCAGCCAAATGATGATGGTTCCACTCTAGGCACCACCAGGTAGCCCCTCCTTTACAGTGAAGCAAACGAAGGGGGTTATATAAAACGAGTTAACTGCTAATATACTCTGGTGCTAGACCATTCAGTGCCTTATAGGTAAGCAGTAGTACCTTGTAGTCGATACGAGACCTAACTGGGAGCCAGAGGAGTGAGGCCAGTACAGGACTGATATGCACGTTTCCTAGTCCATGTTAGGCCACTTGCTGCAGCATTGTGCACCAACCGGAGTTTGTTTAATGATGCAGAGGCATTCCCAAACAATAGGGCATTGCCGTAGGCCAGTGTAGAAGTTATGAAGGTGTGTACTAACATTTCTGCATCCTGAAGTGAGACCATTGTTATACTTTTTACAATATTTCTCAGATGGAAGAAAGCTGTTTTAACCACGCCAGTTACATTTAAAAACCATGAATTCAAATGTGGTGAATTCGTATCCGAATCTCTCTGCGATACCTAGTTTATATACAAAGAGAACAGCAACACCACCATCTCAAAATATCACTCTGGATTTAGGCTTATAAGCATAACCGGGAAGAGCCGATTCATTTTAAGGAATGTAGTCATCTTGCTTAAGCCAAGTTTCTTTCAAGTACAAAATGTCAAGACAGTGGTCAGTAATGAGATCATTTGTAAGCAGTGCCTTAGTAGCTAATGAGCTTACATTCAATAAGCCAACTTTTATATTTCTATTTTCATGTTACAGGGTCCAAATAATATTAATTAAGTCTTCAAAGCATATTTTATGGTAACTTGTGTCTTTATACTTGTTTGTTCGCCACAAATATTGGTGACAAATCTATGCATCTACAATCAAAGAGTTGGTTAAGCTGGTCTTATAAGCCTGGACTTGTCTCTGGTGACCTAAGACTATTTGCTATATTTTTAGGGAGGAGATTAGCACCTGCCCACAACGGGTAAAGGCCTGTCCCAGAAAGTCTGCTAATGCTTATAAAACCCATTTATAAAACTCATTTACTGGGCACCATTCAGGCAGCCGACAGTAACTGATGTTAAACGAGATGGGCAAATATAGTAGATGAAGGTGTCATGAATGTCTGCATCTTTCAAATAAGGAAGTTGGGGACCTTTTGGAGAAATTTTATGCAAGCCAGGTCTTATAAGTATCTAGTCTACTTCAGATCACTTTGAAGAGCCAGGTACAGATTTTCAGTCTATGTTCTTGGTCTTGGAATCTACCTTCAACAATGTCCTCCTATCCTCCAAACCAGGCCCTCCTGAAAAAGCATGAAGCGCTGATGTCAGACCTGAGCGCCTACAGGAGCACCATTGAGGCCCTCAGGGAGCAGGCCGAGGCGTGCAGGGTGAGTCTGATCCCTCAAACCCGTGACCCGTGAATCTGCTAAATAAAACAATGATGCTGGTGTTTCAGAACCAGATCTGTCCTGAAACGTCCATGTCTTTCCCAAAAGCAACAAGTGGCCCCCACAGATGATGAGACCGGGAAGGAGCTGGTGCTGGCCCTGTACGATTACCAGGAGAAAAGCCCCCGTGAGGTCACCATGAAGAAGGGCGACATCCTCACCCTGCTGAACAGCTCCAACAAGGTGGCCTTTGAGAACATCTCCATGTGTGGTGTTAGTTGGGTTGTGAGCACACCACAATCTGATTTGTAAACTCCCAAGTTCTCAAAGAGCTGCTTTTTCTACTGCTTTGGATCAGTTTTAGTGGAGTCAAAATGGATGAAGAAGGAAAAAGGAAATCTGTAACACTGGACATGACTGACCTAGCTGGACTGGGCTTCTTACCTCCTTGGTCCCCTCCCTGCAGGACTGGTGGAAGGTGGAGGTGAATGACCGTCAGGGCTTCGTGCCGGCGGCTTACGTGAAGAAGCTGGACCCTACCCAGTCCTCATCCCAGGAGAACCTCCTGGAGGAGCAAGGCAGCATTGGCCTGCGGCAGGAGCAGATTGAGAACCAGTACGAGTCCTTGCATTACCCTGTATGCCGTTTATCAACTGCTACATATCATTCAAACATTGTGTATGGGTGTCTTAACGTCAGAGTATGTGCTGATACGTTTAACTCCTATATCCCTCACCTTATTGCACCAGAAACTGACAACTTGGCCTCCCTTCAGGTACGGTGCTATACTGGAACTGGGGGAGAATCGCAAGGACAAGCTGATGAAAAGCTGCAAGAAGTTCATGGTGTACCGCGAGGCCAGCGAGCTGCTGCAGTGGATCGGGGATAAGGAGGGTTCCCTCACCGGCCAGGAGGAGGCCTCTGACCTGGAGCAGGTGGAGGTGCTGCAGAAGAAGATCGACGACTTCCAGAAGGTGCATCCCTCTCTTTATTGGTCAATGGGAATGTGTGACTCCTGTTGCGGCTGCTGATTCTTCTCTTTTTATTAAACAGGACCTGAAGGCAAATGAGTCCCGCCTGAAGGAAATTAACAACGTGGCTTCAGAGCTGGAGGCTGAGGGCCTGATGGTGGAGGAACCACAACTCTTGCAGGCCCAGGTGAGACGGTGTGGGTACGGTGGTGGTGAAGAGGCATGGCTACATACCAGAGGTGGAAAGTCTGAGTTTCAACCAACTTGTTGAGTTTGAAGAGTCACAGTCACAGAGTACTCAACTGGTTGGTTGAATCAAAATCTTGGTCTGGAAAGCTGTACTTTGCACCTCTGCTACATACCCATGAGAGGTTATGTGTAATATTTCTAATATTTATAGTGCTGAGCACAGGACCTCATTTTGTTCTCTAACATGCTACCCTCATGTTCTCGGAATGACAATAAGCCATCTTGAATCTTGATAACCGTGTCACCAACTGTGTGCAGTTGGTGACATCACTTTATTAATCCCTGTGAGGAAACTGTTTTTACGCCTCCCTCAGCTTGCTCTTTGTAAGCAAGCTGTCCGCAAAGGGCAGCCACCCGTAGCGGCACCCAGGGAACTGGGTCCCTTGGGCGCCTTGCTGAAGGACCCGCAGATGTGCTGAGGCTTGAACCGGCGACCTTCTGATTACAGGCACACAGGCTTAGCCCACTGAGCCACACGCTGCCCACATCTGTGAGCTATCACATTGCTGGACCTTATAGTAATCCTTGTAGTAATTATTTCTATAGGCCGATGATAAATAGATAATAAGAATGGATAGAAAAGGACAGTGTGAAAGTAAGCTGAGGTGCCTAATCTAGTTTTAAAACACAGCTTTGATCTGTTTTATTTCTCATTCAGCAACAAGAGTTACTGGGCTCTACCCCAGGAGCTGGAAATGTAAGTTTTCAGCCCTGCATGCCCGTAGTTAATGATCGGCATGTGTGCATTTTCTCTGCCTATACCCACATCAGAGCTGTTTAATTCTTTCTTTAATCTGATGTCTTTTTTGTGTGTAACAGGATGAGACAGACAGAAAGAGTGCTTCCCCTTGGAAGGTAAAGAAGTTTAACCGTGCCAGTTTAACTGATTTTACATTTGCTCATTTTGAAGAAATCATTGATTGTTAATTATTTTTTTTCCTTTTTTTCCCCTTGTGAAGCATGAAATTGTTTAAGGATGAAATCGATCAGTATTGTTTTACACTGGGCCAACATGCCCTAAGAGAATATTAGGGGGCACAGTTTGTGGTGAACACAAAAGCCCAGGGGGCTTGACTAGACACAGTTTCCCGACTTGCCTGTTCTCTACCCCCCATTCATAGTATCTTCAATCAGCTAAAAAAGTGAGATCTGTCTCCAGGTGACCCATTCATTAAGTACAGAATGACATTTCCCAAAATTCTTGACGGTTCCTTTAACGTTTTCTGAAATAGGCCTGGTTCTTCACCTTCTTACTTTGTTTCAATATTCTGATCCACCCTCCTGCATCCCGTTCCTCATCCCAGGATGGAAAACCCCCATCCTTCCTGTTCACATGGCCACTCGCGTGTATATACACCAGTACATACATGCGCGTTGCCCAGAACTTTATTCTTACATCTCAGTCTTGTATGGTTCATCTTTCATTCCCAGTTTTTTCGGTGGATTCTGAATGTTCTTTTGGTGGTTTGGTACCTTGAACTGTCAACAGTTCTGCTGGATGTATATTCTGTCTTCATTCTTTCCTCACGGTTCCTTCTGTAATTTTCATTTTATTTGTTGTAGTCTGTACGGTTGGCTGTGCAGACAGTGGCAAACTTTAATGATTTCAAGGTAAATTTTACCTCCACTGTTTCCCCATCATCACTCCTTTTCATCCTGGTCCCCAACTCTCCTTCCTTCTCAATGTGAGACAAGCCCCCCCCCCCCCCCGCGTCTAGGTCACTCTGTGGAGCCCACTAACCCTCCCCCAGGCCGCCTGTTTGGTGTCCCTCCATCCTCCCATGGCAGTCGTCGTTGTCGTTGTTGTTGTTGTTGTTGTTGTTGTTGTTGTTGTTGTGCTCTTCCAGGAGTTTTGGTTCTCACACTCTGTTTTGTGACTTGGGTCCTTTTGTTACAGTTTCCTTCTGTAGGACTTTGGGATTTAAGCCTCATAACCCTGCTGTTGTTGGCCAGTCAGATGTCTTATCATGCCTGCATGATTCACCTTCATCCCAAAAACCTGCATCTCCATCTCTGCTTTGACCCTCATCCTTCTCATTGGACCATGTCATCACAAACCCTTTGTGTCAAAATGAAAAATACTCCTTCCTTCATTAGTATTCTCTATTTTTTTAAGCCATGAGCATCTTAAATTACTAGCTAGATGATTAACTAAATAGTTGAATATTTATTAAAAAAAAAAGTGTCCAGTTGTATTTTGTCAAATTGTTTTTATGACAGCTGACAGTGCCAGTGCTGGCTGAACGCCAGTGTGTCTGAAGTGTTGGCACAGCGATGTGGGTCTCTAATTGGTGACTGATGTGTGGTGCTTGCCAGGAGATGAATGACCGCTGGAGATCCCTTCAGCAGCTGGTGGAGGACAGGGCCAACCTGCTGGGCAGTGCCCATGAGGTGCAGAGGTTCCACAGGTGCGCTCGCTGGTCCTCACGCATCCAAAAGCTTGGGTCTCGAACTTCATAACCTTGATGACGGTGTTGGGGGTTTCTGCTTCACTACAGGGATGCTGATGAGACCAAGGAGTGGATCGAGGAGAAGGACCAAGCTCTGAACACGGACAATTATGGGCACGACCTGGCCAGCGTGCAGGCACTGCAGCGAAAACATGAGGGCTTTGAGAGAGACTTAGCAGCCCTAGGAGACAAGGTGATCCCTGACCTGTGAAAGCACTGACCCCTTTTCTTTTGAAGCATGGTGTATAATGACCCTTTTGTCCCCCAAAAAAGTCCTTATTAGACACTAGTTACCTAATTCACAAGAGAAAGCATAATATAAATGTAACAGCCATAAGATGAGTTCCAAGCATTATCTGTACGGCTGTAGTTCTTGTTTCAGGATAGAAAGACTATTATCTGCTTTAAAGTATAATTTGATTTCTTGACACAAGTTCGTCATCCTGCATACTCTGGCCCAGATGAATGTCTTTCATCTAATTGCTCTAAATTGTCAATAAAAAATCAGAATCTAGTGGTATTAATGTACACCAAGGTGACAGGAGAGCAGACGTAATTTCCCAGTCCCTATAAATACCCCTTGTGCTTGTGTATGGGTGCCTGTGGCCTGGGTCTCATTCCAGCCTCCTCTTTCTGCTCTTGCCAGGTGAACTCCCTGGAGGAAACAGCGGAGCGACTCATCCAGGTGCACCCGGAGTCTATGGACGACATCCATGAGAAGTGTGCCGAACTGAACATGGCCTGGAGCAGCCTGGTGGACCGGGCCGACCGGCGCAAGGAGAAGCTGGGCAGCTCCCACGACCTGCAGCGTTTCCTGAGCGACTTCAGGTGTGGAGGGATTATTTGTCTTCTGGTAGCAATGCATATATGGATGGCTCGTGGGAGTCAAGCAACTAGAGGAGGTAGGAGCTACCAAACATGTCTTTATCCCGCCTCCTCTAGTTGCTTAAGCCCTCCTCCTCTACAATCTGATTGGTTCTCTCTCTGAACCAATCGTTTTTCCTTCTGCCCTCAGTACATTTTTACGTAAGTAAAACTCCTATGAGCGTGTGGATGTACCTGATTGGTTGTAGGAAGGCCAGACAATTATGTGAGAGTGAACTTCCTCCCAAGAAGAATTAATATTTAAATGGAAGTACATTTCGCTGTTCTTTTTTCGCTCCACATCTTTCGAATTCCCCATGGGTGAGTTGCCATGTTAAAATGGCTAATGCAGGTAGGTATGCAAAGGCCAGCTTAGTATAGGGAGGAAAGGGCAAACTCTGAGAGTGTAAAAGGTGAAAGGGACAGGTGAGGTGACAGGGAAGTGGGATCATGTGTCTGTCACCTTATATGAAAGCTGCTCTTTGCTGACCTACACAGGGATCTCCAGTCCTGGGTCAACGGCATCCATGGGCTGGTGTCCTCAGAGGAGCTGGCGAAGGATGTAACTGGAGCCGAGGCCCTGCTGGAGAGGCATCAGGTACTATTCAGAACACACCTGAGGCTGAGGCTTGCCTACACCCAATAGTAGTGTTTCCCAATGTGGTCCTCAGGAACCCACAGACAGTCCGCGTTTTTGCTCCCTCCCAACTCCGGGAGCCGGGAGGGAGCAAAAATGTGAACTGCCTGGCAGGGAGCTCGGAGGGAGCAAAAACATGCACCGGCCATGGGTCCCTGACAACCGGACTGAGAAACACCGTACCGTAGGTACCATCCTCTTGGTACACACCTACAACTTATTCTGGCTCCCCAGGAGCTACAGGTGAGCCTGGTAATGTTTTGCTAATACACAATGTAAGCCACCATGTGCAGCACACATACTGTTTGAACTTATTGTGTGGTGAATTATTCAGGCCGTCAGGTCTTGTATTGTTTAATTTGTAGATCAGGGTTATTCAACTCACGGTCCTCGAGGTCCGAGCACTGCTGGTTTTCCAGCCTTCCTTTACCTGTCAGTCAGGTGTGAAGCCTCTGACCAATCAGAATCAGTGATTATTAAACAACTACCTGGGAGAACTGAAAACACGGCCTGGATTTGGAATCGAGGTCCAGAGTTGAAGAACCCTGTTGTAGATGCTTCGTTATTGTACTATTTTGAGTTATACATGCCTGCCTGCTTTAGTTCAGTATTATTTGGGATGTACTCATTTCTGGGCAGCCTGGACCTTGGCTCTGCTCTTCGGGCCTGTGATGTCACATCCTTTGCCTCCCGCAGGAGCACCGCACGGAAATCGACGCCCGTGCCGGGACTTTCCAGGCCTTCGAGCAGTTCGGGAAGCAGCTGCTGGAACATGGCCACTACGCCAGCCCCGAGATTCAGGAGAAGATGGCGACGCTGGAGCGCGAGCGGGCCGACCTGGAGAAGGCCTGGGTGCAGAGGCGCATGATGCTCGACCAGTGCCTGGAGCTGCAGGTGGGCCATGTCGCCGTGGTGGCGCATCTGAGTAGCATTAGCCCTGTCGCTACACACACGCGTCTACTGTAACCTAATTTCATTAAGAAAAGCGGATGACACTGACGAAACAGGAGCTGATTATTGTGCTATAAACCCGTCTGGTTTGCTCAGTCGGACGTGGGCCCTGCATTGCACATCTGTGCATTCACCCCCTCTTCGCCTCCCACAGCTCTTCAACCGTGACTGCGAGCAGGCAGAGACGTGGATGGCAGCCCGGGAAGCTTTCCTGGCCGGTGACGACAAAGGCGACTCCCTGGACAGCGTGGAGGCGCTCATCAAGAAGCATGAGGACTTTGACAAGGCCATCAACGTGCAGGTCTGTCCTGTGCTCTGTCCCCCTCCCCGTCCCCAACACTTCTCCTTATCTGCGATATAAAGCTTAACCATGAATTAAACATGTAAGGTAGTGTGCAGCTCAGCAGGTTAAGGGATCTGTGCCCATGTCTAGAAGCTCACTGGTTCGAATCCCGTGGCTGGCAGAGTAGTCTTATCACTGTTGGGCCCTTGAGCAAAGCCCTTATCCCCATTTATCCCAGGGTCTGGTAAACCCTGTTCTAATGTCCTCACCTGTATGACACTTTGAACATAAGTGTCAACTAAATAAATAAAGTACATGTAACTATCTTGTCCTCTTTTGTTCAGAGTAGATACATGTAGGCTCCTTCACCTGTAGCCCCTGACTGATGCTTGCTTGTTCTGAGCTCACCTCTGCTTTTTCGCCGTCCCACAGGAGGAAAAGATCGCCGCCCTGCAGTCCTTTGCGGAGCAGCTCGTCGTGGCTGACCACTACGCCAAGCCGGAGATCTCCAAGCGTCGTGACAGCGTCCTGGACCGGTGAGCGCCCCCCCCCCCCCCCTTTGCGGATCTGTGGTTTCCCTGCCGGCGTCTCGGCTCGGCTTACGTGTCCGTTGCCGCCCGCGGCGGCAGGTGGCTCCGTCTGAAGGCCCAGATGATCGAGAAGCGCTCCAAGCTGGGCGAGTCACAGACCCTGCAGCAGTTCAGCCGCGATGTGGACGAGATCGAGGCCTGGATCAGCGAGAAGCTGCAGACCGCCATGGATGAGTCCTACAAGGACCCCACCAACATCCAGGTACGGCGCCCTGAATACCCTGCAGTGCTGTTCCCATTCTCTTTTAAAATATGTGCATCTATTATATCTCCTTTAAGTTTTTTTTATTATTATTAATTTACTAATTTCCTACTTCACGTATGGAATATATGTATTTGTGGCATATATGTGGCTTTCTGGTGTTTTTTTTTATAAAAGTTATTTTAATAAAAACTAAAAATGTTCCTTTATTCCCTGTTTTTATATTAATACACTCCAATTTCCATCTTGTGCTGCCCCTCCTAATTAAAACATTTAATTTCTTCTTTGTTTCTGTTGGTTTTAGCTGTCGAAACTGCTGGTAAGTCAAGTAGTGTGACAGTGCTGACTAACCCGCGTAGGATTCCTGTTGCGTCCCCATGTCCCTGGCGAGCCTGTAGTGGTGCTGCTCCGCTGGGGTCCCACCCGGGACGCCCCACATGCACCTACAGTCAGACGCTTGCTTGCTTTTTTGCCTGTTTGATTCCTTTAGTATTAATTACGGGCACCTGTATGTTTAGAGATCGTGTGCCCATACCGTGTGTTGTGTGTGACCATTGCAGCTCTTCTCTGGGTGTTTTTATGTGCAAGTTTTAAATCATTCCACACATTGGCTTAATTTTTTTTAAATAACCATGACTTAAAAGTTTTATTTTGTTGGAAATTTAAGCAAGATAAGAGGAAATTGCAGCATTTTTTTGATCTGCTAGTAATGTCTGCTAAATGCAGACACTCTACATCTCTGAAGATCTCCCCCGTAGCAGGCCATTCCAGTTGATAGCCGAGCCAGTCTTCATTTATGCCCTTTTTCTTCTCATGCTCAGTCATAATGTGTGGAATGATGTTATCAGAAAACCTAGGTGTTGTTTGCTCTCCAAAAGCACCCCTCCCCCCCCAAAAAAATGTCTTGCTGGTTTATCATCTGTGGTCCATCTTCGTCTGCAGAGACTGCATTGCTCCCTGTGTCAGTGGCGTCCCGCTTTATTCGCATCGTCAGTTTCCGCCTTGCCCTTCAGTTTATTACTGCATATTGGTTCTGCACCGAGAGCAGCGGCTTCTCAGTCTAGGAGTTACTGAGATGCAGGAAGTTTCACTTCTTTGGGGAGAATTATTCTGCCCCTGGCAACTGACTTCGGTACAGAACCATAAATGCTGCCAGACCTAGACTGCCAGTACGGAAGAATTCGGACTGCGAGGAGGCGCTGGATGTTGGGTCATCCAACGTACTCTGAGGCTCTGACTCTGAGGCTCTGACTCTGTCGCTGTCTTTCTGCCTCGCCTCATCACGCCCCCCAGAGCAAACACCAGAAGCACCAGGCCTTCGAGGCGGAGCTGCACGCCAACGCCGACCGCATCCGCGGTGTGATTGACATGGGCAACTCGCTCATCAACCGGGGTGCCTGTGCCGGGAGCGAGGACGCCGTCAAGGTAGCGACCTCTGACCCCGGCCTGCACTGCCTTTAACATACAAACAAGAACCCTTTAATGTGTGTATTTGTCAAAGACTGTGTTCTTGTCCCTGTGTTTGCCTAGTTTTCCTGTCATTTCCTCCCACAGTCTATAGATACAGCTGTGAGAAAATTTGCATGAATTGGGTTAGTCACTGGTCACATTAGTGAGTCCACACAAGGGTGCATATATACTGTGTACATCTGTTAGAGAGTGAGACCCAGATTGCCATTGTAAATAAGAACTGGACCTTAACTCTCTGATTTTAAAATCAGGGTAAAGCATAAGCTGGCATGAAATTTGTCTGAAAGTCATTGAGTTCAAATTGGGTGACTGCTGAGATCTCGTCTCTGCTGTGGTATAACCTGCGTGTGGCACCTCCAGACCCGTCTCAACACCCTGGATGACCAGTGGAAGTTCCTGGTGAGCAAATCGTCAGAGAAGAGCCAGAAACTGAAGGAGGCCAATAAGCAGCAGAACTTCAATACGGGCATCAAGGACTTCGACTTCTGGCTGTCTGAGGTGAAAAGCCAACAGCTCAATCACCTTCCATTGGGAGCTCTCCAAAATCTCACCTTTATGACCGTTGAAATGTTTCCATTGCGGTGAGAATGAGCATGAGATCATTCATAAGAAATAATCCTCTGTCTGGCTTCTCTTCCCGGTTCTTTTGTTTCTCTGCTTTCAGGTTGATGCTCTACTTGCCTCTGAGGATTATGGGAAAGACCTGGCCTCTGTGAACAACCTACTGAAGAAGCACCAGCTTCTGGAAGCTGACATCTCTGCCCATGAGGTGACAAGGAGACTTTGAATTCAGTCCAAACTAATTTTCAGTTTTTGGATGTGATCTAGAAATTATGCGAAACTGGGGTCTATATTTGAATTTGGGAGGCAAACATGATTTTGCATTGATGTTGTCAAGATTGACCTTAACCAGGGACCTACACTGTCACTTCTGTCTCCTCTGCAGGACCGTCTGAAGGACCTGAACAGCCAGGCTGACAGCCTGATGTCCAGCCAGGCCTTCGACACCTCGCAGGTCCGGGACAAGCGAGATGCTGTGAATGGCCGCTTCGCCAAGATCAAGAGCATGGCGGCCGGACGCCGCGCCAAGCTCAACGAGTCGCACCGCCTGCACCAGTTCTTCAGGGACCTGGATGATGAAGAGTCTTGGATTAAGTTAGTGTGAACAATTGGACTTTACAGCATTCTTAATTTTGACTTCAAAGCTCCTTATGTAAAATTCGGGGGCGGCTAATCCTAACCAGAAAGGGCTGTTGGGTATGAGGGGCAGTTAGGGACTTCATTCAGAATTATCATGCATATACATATGTGGAACCATGCATAAACGTATATGAAACCAAAATCCTTCACATAGTACACTGAAAATTGCACACACAAGTGAAAGCATTTACGTACACTACTGAAAGTACTCACATAATCAACTGAAACACTCTCATATAAACAACTGAAAATGTATACATTCACATACGCAACTGAAAAGTTCTCACAAACACTAGTGAAACCTTCCACACATACTACTGCCTAGTGTGTGTGAATGCTTTTCAATAGTGTGTGTAAAAGTTTTAACTAGTTTTTGTGAGATTTTCAGTTGTTTGTATGAGACGGTTTCAGCAGTATATGTGAATGTCAATATGTGCAAGGCATTTCACTCAAACAGGAAGGCATTTCACTCAAACAGGAAGGCATTTCAATTAAACAGGAAGGCATTTCACTTAAACAGGAAGTTGTTTTTAAAGAGTGGGCGTTTATCACTAGACCGATGTCGGCTCCACATTCCACGGGTAGCCTGACAGAAGGAGCAGCCTTATTAAGCAGCATATTGGCCTCAGTAGAGACCATCGGAACTTTGTCAGAAGCGACAACAGTCGGGCAGCAACCGATTGTTGCAAATGCAAGCGTGGACACTGTGGACAGTCGCCTTGCGTCGGCGTATTAGCGGTCCGCTGCCGGCTGTACCTCCAGCTCCCAGAGGACGAGGACCACTGATTGGCTCAAGAGTTCACACACCTGGGTTTGAACAGCTGACGTAGGTTACCCCATAAACCTGCATACACACCGGCCCTTTGCGGATAAGGTTGGCCAACCTGGGTTTAGTTCATGCCTCCCATCCTGGGTTTGACTCAAACTTTTAGACACCCAGACAGCCCCCACTCCTTTGATATTTCATAAGGATCACTACTTTCCCCCCCCCATTATGTCAAAGTTTTATCTCTCAAACACAAATTTTATGAAAACTTAGAAGCCGAGATCAGAGAACAACCATATTTCAGACCCCAGCCCTAGTCTTCACCGGCCCTACAAACCTCCATCCTTTCACACACAGAGAGAAGAAGCTACTAGTGAGTTCGGAGGGTTACGGACGTGACTTGACAGGAGTGCAGAATTTGAGAAAGAAGCACAAGAGGCTGGAGGCTGAGCTGGTAGCACACGACCCAGCAATACAGGTACGGGATTCCAAACAGGAGCACAGAGCATTAGCCTGACATTAGCACTGTGTTACCTCCATGTTAGCATGATTAGCGCCTCGTCCATTTTTCTCACTTACTGCTCAAACTTGCTGTACATGCAACCTAGATTGGCCCATAGCTCCCCACCCTCGTCTAGTGCCTCCCAGTGACGTCTTCTTCTTGTCTTTTGCCTCTGCCTCCTTCATCCTACCTCCCTCCTCCCTGAAAGTCTGTGCTGGAGGCCGGGAAGAAGCTTTCTGAGGATGACACCATGGGGCTGGAGGAGATCCAGCAGAGGCTGGCCCAGTTTGTGGAGCACTGGATGGAACTGAAGGAGCTGACAGCAGCACGGTACGGCCTACGCCTCCCCTTTTGTCAACTGCTTCTTTTCACACCATTTAAGCCTCCGGTACATTCTGAACATTTGTGAAGGCGGGACTTTAGTTTGGTCGCTCCCTCCCTCCCCCTAGAAACCCTGAATCAGTGTTAGAATCTGTTAGAGTGGACAGGCATTCTGGGCCATACATTTCATTATTCGCAATCATGGGGGTGTTTACGTACGGGGGCTTTTGGAACTTTTAGCGAGAGCCAATGAGAGGCAATTTTAAAGAGAAGGTGCAGTGGGCCTGGTGCTGATGGACGGCCCTCTATAATCCCACGCAGTAGCGGTCGGTTCCCAGTAAGAGAGAGCGTTTCCAGGGATCGCTGTGATAAGCGTGTCTGTGTCCGCAGAGGGCAGAGGCTGGAGGAGTCGCTGGAATACCAGCAGTTTGTGGCGAACGTGGAGGAAGAGGAGGCCTGGATTAATGAGAAACTGAATTTAGTGGCGAGTGAGGACTATGGAGACACGCTGGCGGCAGTGCAGG